ACTTTATGCCTAGAACCTCATTAATGAAACCATTGCGCAGGCCGCATGGTGGAAGGAACTACATTACAGAAGACGTGTGTCATACTCAGGAAGATGAATTTTATTTATTTTTTTCCTTTTCTTTCTCTTTTCTTTTTTTTGGTACCAGGGATTGAACCCAGGAGCACTTAACTACTAAGCCACATCCCCAGTCCTTTTTGTATTTTTATTTAGAGACTGGGTCTCTCTAAGTTACTGAGGGCTTTCCTAAGTTGCTGAGGGTGTCTTTGATCCTCCGGCCGCAGCCTCCCAAATTGCTGGGATTATAGGCATGCACCACCAGGCCCTTCACTCTTTTCTTTATCTTTCTTTTCTTTCTTTCTTTTTTTTTTTTTGATGTGGTCTTGCTACATTACCCAGGTTGACCTCAAACTCCTGGACTCAACTGCTCCCAGGCAGATGGACTTTGATTCTGAATGTTGTGAAAAAATGTGTTTTCAGATTCTAAATGGATTCACTTGTGTCAACCCTAACAACAGCCTTCATAGTCAGGAAGTTATGAAAAAGGATTCTTATGCATGATTGCCCAACAGTAATTATCACAAAAGACTTGTCAGAACCTGATGTTTGCACAGAGGCCACCACAACCCTATCTAAAAAGGACTCATAATAGGACCTCTGCCCAGCAACTGACTGTTCAACTTTGGACTGATGCTCTTCTTTTTTTCTTTTTAAATATATATATTTTTTCAGTTGTAGATGGACACAATACCTTTATTTTATTTATGTGTTGCTGAGGATCGAACCCAGGGCCTCACACATGTGAGATGAGTGCTCTACTGCTGGGCCCCAACCCCAGCCCCCTGATGCTCTTCTTGTTATTAATAATTGTGGCCAAGGATTACTGCTTCAAAATATCTTACATAATCCACTTCCTTTTTCATCTTTAAAACCTCTTAGCTGAGTATAGGTCGTGTACACCTGCAATCCTACCTACTCAGTAGGCCCAGGTAGGAGGATCAACTGATGGAGATCAGCTTTGGGGGAAAACACATATAATCATATGTAAATATATGGATGGGGCATGTGGAAGAGTAAATAAGCTACTGAAGGTGTGAAAATTTGGACCATCAACAGTTGTGCCTGTTACTATTATGGTAGCTGCCATAGAATGTATCTATTAGTGGATTAATTGAACAAATATTTTTTTTCTAGAAATTGTTGTTCATTAAAATACATACAGGAAAAATTTAATTAGCATGGAAAGAGAGCAGGGCAATCATTCCCAAATAACTGAGTCTGTAATGCAAGTTACTTTTGCATTTCTTGCAAGCTTAGAATCCCCCTGGGAGCTAATTCCATCATCATCATCATCATCATCATCCTCATCATCTCATTAGCCATCTGTTGCAGGGACTGCTGTGCCTTCAACAGCACTCAGGTTTGAGATTTGAGTGCGGAAGTTCAGGTAAAGATCATGAGTTTTCGAGGATATTTCGCTTAGAGAAAATGAAACTTTATTTTTCGATGTGGTGTTCAGAACTAGCGTAATAACAACTACAGAAAGTAGTAACAACTACAAGGGGCATTCCCTGGGGTTTTTATACTAACTTTAACTTTAGCTGCTAAGGCAATTGCTACAGGGAAGCAATCTTCAATTGTTGCAAAAAAATCTAACCACGGGCTAGAGGACCACCGGATTCCTCTTTTGTTTCTTCTTCTTCTTCTTCTTCTTCTTTCTTTTTTTTTTTTCAGAGGGCTGTTAAACTGGAGTCTGGGACGTTAGGCCACAACAGAAAGCGATTTTGTCCTTTTAACGGTGTAAGAAAGATATAAAAGCAAGAAGAGACAACCCCAGAACTTCCTGGGCGCGCGCTGCGTGGGAACGCCCCCAGCGCCGCCCTCGCCCGGGGACCCGCAGCGGCCAAGCGCTCAGGGCTGGGGACGGAGACACCGGGCACCGCGGGTCCGTGAGTTAACCTCTCGTTGGGGCGCTCGCCAGATACTTTGGTGCTGGCAGGTGCGCGGCGAGTGCACGGAGCAGGCGATGGCGCCCAGCGCGACGGGGTAGTGCCGGCGAGGCTGCTGGGTCCCGGCGCGCAGGCCCGCCTTCCTCCCAGACCGCGGCGCGGGTCCGGGTCCTTGCAGGCAGCAATGGGGCTCCTGCGGCTGCTGGTCTTGGCAGTGCTGGCATCGGAACGCAGTACGGCTGGAGGAGCTGAGACGGTCGGCAACTCTAGCCAGGGTAAGGTCGGGGTGCCTCGCTGGTGCGACCCAAAGTTACTTCTGCATTTTTTGCAAGCTTAGAATCCCCCTGGGGGCTTTCCACCTGGCGAGAAAGGTGGGTCTTGGGGGGCGTTGGAGCGCCGAGCTGTGAGTTAAAACTGACACGGATAGACACTAGAGCCTTCCTCCCATTGCTAAGAAGGAGGCCTTCCTGTCAGCCCCCTAAATAGACGGGGGAAACGGGAAGAGATAACCAACTCTCTTTTTCAGACATTATTATCTCCCGTAGGGAGCAGCCATGTTTGTGGTTTTAACACATTAAAACGCCCCTTTGCTCCTTCGTGGCCTGCCTCAGCTCCCGATTGCGAAGCTTGGAGAAGAATTAAGCTTTATGATTGATGGTCCTCCAAGCTGCATTGGTTTTGCATTCAGAAATCGTGACGCTTTTCAAATTGATTGATGTCCTGCGGAGTTTGAGAAAAAAATGACCCCAGAATGAGACTTTAGATGGTAGGTCATGTGCTTGGTGAAATGAGTTTTAGCAACAGCTCATGCTTTGTTAATATAAAATGTAAAAAGCACTAATTGTGCCAGGCTGATGATCATGTGCTTTTCCGTGAAATTAGGCACATTCTGGGTTTTGTTTCGAGCTTAAGAGACAAGATGCAGTTCTGAAACATATTTTCTGAATAATGTGATTGTGTTCCTACATGCTTATCTCTGAAAACCCCTTGTGCAAACTGAATCCTAGGATCTTTGCATAGACTTAAGGCCAAAACTGAAAAGGGCGATTATATTTACTTGCAGAACATATAATAGGGTATGTTCACTGCATGCAGCCTGTGCCAGGTGCTTTCCATATACAGTGTTCTTTAATCCTCACAACTCCACAGATAATGATTGTCCTCACCTGGCAGAGGATGAAGCTTAGGCCCAAGACACTCATTAAACAAATGAATAGCTAGTAGGGGCAGAGGAAGGGTTTAAATCTAGATGTGTCTCCAAGCAAATTTCATTGTCTTCCCACTTCAACAAAGGTGACTTCCAATAAAATATCTTGTGTTTTACATTTAATCCTTCAGCGATTCCTTATCCCTTAAAATAGACTAATAGGGAAGGTTGAGTCTCCAGATACTATCTCCATTTAACAGGTAGGGAAGTTGTGGTTGATCCAGGATAGTCCAAGACTCAGAAGGGTTGGTATCCAGACCTTTTTATTCTAGTTTGGTGCTTTAGTATTTACTATCTAGAAATCTTTACAGAGAAGTTGAGAAATAGAGCCAGGCACCGTGGCTCATGCCTGTAATCCCAGTAGCTTGGGAGGCAGGAGGATTGAGGATTCAAAGCCAGCCTTGGCAATTTAGTGAAACCTTGTCTCTAAATAAAATATAAAAAACAGGCTGGGGATGTGGCTTGGTGATTGATGCCCTGGGTTCAATCTCTGGTACCAAAAAAAAAAAAAAAGAATGTTATGTTTGCCTTGTGTTAATATTATTCTCTGCAGGAAAGGGACAATATGTGGAAATTTAACTGCTGATAATAAAAGCTGATATTCTCCACATCTGTCAGATGAAGGTCAGTACAGAAATCAAGAAATCCTTAGTACAAGACTTGCATGATCCTCTTGTACCATGGCTGGATTGATGTGTAGGATTCTAATGGGACAAAATGAAGGATCAGAGCAGCTGCTGCAGTTTAGGAAGATTTATCCATCTTGAGCAGGATGAGCTGACTTGCACAGTTTGAGGCTGAATACTGAATGAACCTTGGAAGGTGGTTGGTGGAGTTCCTAGAATGTCTAAGGAAGGTGCTTTCTCTGACCAGCTGGGCATTGGAAGTGATTTGTCCATTTAAATAGTTGTCTCTTCTCCTGGAGTCCCATGTCTCTTTGACCCTTAACATATATCATTATTGTTTTAGATTTGTATCCACTAACTCTCATGAAATTACATAGTAATTGGAGTTGGTAGGGAAGTCATGTGGACCCTCTGTGCTTTGGATGATGCTTTAAAGCAACAGGTCACTTGTGCTGTGAGTTGCAAATGTTGGTTCCCTTCACAAGTGTGTGAGAAGTTGTATGTTCATTGTTGTGTTTCCTTTTAACTTTTGGGACTAATAACAATTTAGAAGATGAAAATGAGCTATTGGGAGGGGCATTTGAATGGCAGCCAGCTCACGTAGCTGAACCATTTTTATTTTTAACTGTGTGTCTGAAGAGAATTATTGAGACCAAGATTTAACAGATCCCTCCCAGAATTTGGTTGTTGTGTTAAAGCACAAACAATGGAGGGAAATCTGAAGTAGACTTTAGTAAAATATTAGGAAAAGCTGGAAATTTTTAAGGTTGCAAGATAAGGACCTGATTGGCAAAGAAAGGAAGAGATTATTAGGATTGGGCAGTTCTTCTTGGAATGGAATTACTGGAAAGAAAAACGGACTCTAGGCAAGAATAAAAGATGAGTGTGAAAAATAGAAAAAAAGTCCCTTTCTATTCCAGTGCTAAAAATTGTTGGCAGAAAAAAGCAGAACCACTTCTTTGTAGAGGAGAACTACTTTGTAAGTGCACCATCTTGATGTTGGCCCTTTGCTCTGTAATGTCATTTGATGTGCTGTCTTTTTTCCTCCCACTCCTGAAGTCATAAGATCTAATTATGTCTCATAAAATGCTTCCGATGAATCCTTTTCCACATGGCTTAGAGGTGAAGTTAAGTTCCTGTTAACTTCTGCAGGATATAATTTGGTACATGTCTTCTTTTGCCAGGTCTTTTTTTGTGAGTAGAAATTAAATGCTATCTCTATTAGGTTGTGCTGTAAAAATTATTTTGGGTTTCAGTAAAAATTTTCTTTTTTCTTTGTTTTGTGGTGCTGGGGATCAAACCCAGGTCCTCATGCATGTCAGGCAAGAGCTTTACCACTGAGCCCCATCCCCCGTGTCTTGTTCAGTGTCTTTCATTGTCACCAGATAGAAGTCTCTTTCTCAACTTGATGTTTAGGAGATGGGTATTTCTGTAAATGTCCTATGTGTGTTTAGCATCTTCTCATTAGTTTGTTTGTAAGCTAATCCAAGACTGCCTGGAAGCTAATGTCTTAGAGTATAGGATTGGATAGTTTAAAATCATTTTTCCCATTTATTTGATACTTTTAGCAGCCAAACTGATATATGTAGCATAGTTACCTCCACTTTTCCATAAGAGAACAGAAGCCCAGAGGAAATAATAAATTATTTGCCTGAGGTTACATAGTTCTCTTATCATTTAACAAACATGTGCTGTCTGTGCCAGGCACTGGAGCATCAAATATGACAAAGCACTGAACAGTCAGAAGTGAAGCCACAAGTAGTTTGGTTAAAATGCAGTCTTCTGTAAAAATTATGAAATGTCCTTTTAACTGCCAAAGTATTTTCACAGTGAAGTTAGGTTTAAAGATAAAGAGAAAACGTGTTTATCCTTCCCTTATTTATTATTGTGTTTGTAGTTCTCAAACCTGGCTGAACATTAGAATCACCTGGAGAACTTTTAAATAGGCATATTGTTGAAGAGAGAACAAGAAATGGAAATTCAAAAGAAAGTTTATAGAAGCACCAGGAAATATTAAATATTTAGGGATAATTATACTAGGATATGTAGAGATCTCTACAGAGAAAACCATACAACATTCTTGAGACAAATTAAAAGTAGAGGAATATCTCCAATTCACAGATTAAAAAATTTTCTTTTTTAGCTGGGCATGGTGGTGCACTCCTGTAATCCTAGGGACTCAGGAGGACTGCAAGTTCAAGGCCAACCTCAGCAATTTAGCGAAGCCCTAAGCAACTTAGTGAGACCCTGTCTCAAAAAACAAAACAAAACAAAACAAAAAAACGGCAAGGTCCAATCGCCGGTACCAAAAAATATGTCTTAAAGATATCACTTCTTCCTAAATTGTAGTGCCCTCCCCATCAGAATCGGGGCTTTTTTTTTTTTTTGGTGGATATTGATGAACTGATTTCTGTATTTATGTGGAAATGAAAAGGGCTGTAATATAGTCAAGACAGTTTTGAAGAGGAAGGACAAATTTGGGATAGGAATTTAGACAGAATAATAAAGGTGTCAGGACAGACAGGTAAACTGGTAGAACCCAGGGGAGAATCCAGAAACAAACATGTTTGTTCACTTGACTTACATTAAAGTGGGACTGCAGAGCAGTAGGGAGAGGGTGGGGTTTTTACTGAAGGTTGTTATTTCAAGTATATGTACACGGAAAAATGAACCTTGCTCCCTGTCCCAGCTATACATAAAAATCAGTGTTAGGTTGGTTTGAGACCTAAATGTGAAAGGTCAAACAAAACTTCCAGAAGTTAACGTGGGGAATACCAAGATCTTGGAATACTTGACAAAATTTCTTTAAAATGACACAAGGACTAATCATAGATGAAAAACTTGAGAAATGAGACTTTATTAAAATCAAAACTTCCATAATCTGAATGTAATGAGAGAGGAAACAGACAAACTACAAAAGTACAAGGTGTTATGCAACACTGTCCTGACAGGCAAGTTCTCATAAAGAACCCCTAATTTTTTTATTTTTTAAAGAGAGAGGAGAGAGAGAGAGAGAGAGAATGAATTAATTTATTTTTAATATTTATTTTTTAGTTCTCGGCGGACACAACATCTTTGTTTGTATGTGGTGCTGAGGATCGAACCCGGGCCGCACGCATGCCAGGAGAGCACGCTACCGCTTGAGCCACATGCCCAGCCCAAGAACCCCTAAAATTTAAGAACAAATAATTTTTTTTTCCTAGTACTGGGGATTGAATCTAGGGGTGCTCTACCATTATCCTCAGCCTTTTTATTTTTTAAGACAGGATTTCACTAAGTTGCTCAGTCTGGGCTTGAACTTGGAATCCTCCTGCCTCAGCCTCCTGAGTTGCTGGGATTGTAGGTATGTACCCCAGCACCTGACCAAATGATTCAGTTTTAAAAATGGACAAAAGATGAACAGACTTCTTCACAAAGAGAATATCCATATAGACAATAAGCAAAATAAAATGTAGTAAAAAATCACTAGCTGTTTTGGAAATGCATATTATTATTTTTACTTTTTGGTGCTGAGAATAGAACCCAGGGCCTCTGGCATGCTAAGCATGAGCTGTACTGCTGAGCTACATCCCCAGTTAATACTGCGTATTAACATAACATACCACTATACATCCAGCAGAGCAACTGATGATCCCAAGTGTTTGGGAGACTGTTGACAGTACTTTTCCACACATTAATGGGAGTGTACATTGGCAAAAGCATGTTGGATAATGCTTTCTATTGAATCTGAATATAAGAATACCTATTATCTGATAATTCTGATGGATTCTATCAAAGAGAAACCTGTGTGTACATGTACCAAAAGATCTATAGAAAATGTTTGGAGTTATTTATAATAACTCCAAACTAGACATAATCCAAATGTTTATTTTTTTGAGGTTCTGGGGATCATACCCAGGGCCCTACATCATGTTAGACAAATGCTGTAACCCT